TTTCGTAGGAACGTGACCTTGCACTGCATAAAGGCTATAACGAATCATTCTTGTGCATGCACAGATATCCTCAAAACATATATAATCAAAATGTTCATTATTACTGAGAGCATTGCCTACCTTTCCGGAACACATTAGGAATAAAAATAATGTTCTGTAGTTCTAGGATTAGTACTTATGGTTCACTAAAAACCCGTTTATGTATGATTAGGAATAAAGCAAAAACTTTTACTAATCAGATGTCACATTTTCTTTTTATACGAATTAAAGCAGTAGCCCGAAATATACTTTCCAATGAATGCATAGAATTTTCACGAAAAGAGATTTAAAAAAAATGTGAAAATTCTGGTAATTACTACGATGGTTTAAGTAATGTACAAGCAAAGCAAATTAATTATTAAGATTTTTTCGTGACATTTTTACACAGGCAATGTGTTTTTAAATATCAAATTGCAAAGAGGCAATCAAAAATAAAAAGCCGAGGAAGGGGATTTTATACTACGGTCTATTCTTTAAGACTAATGCTGATAGTTAATTAATGAACAAATTATTTATACCATTAATTCTATATATCCCGGCAATTTTTTGGTGTTGTTATTCAGGGTACTTTGAATTGCTTAATTCATTATAGGATCCGATTTATTTCTTTCCATTTTTTAAATGTTCTTATCAAATTATTTATTTGCTGCAGGTCATTCATTACTACTATACAATTGTTGGCATTTGATGATGTTAATGTTTTATGCTATATACTTTTAAAACAATGATATTCACAAAGACTATCGGATAAAGTAAAAATAAGCTAGGTTGTCGTACTTGGTATATTCAACAACACATTTGTCGAATCATAAGACAAGGATTGTTTTAATAAGAACAATCAACAATAACATTCTTGTTTCTGTTTTTCTCATTTGTTTTCTCGTTTTTGTATCGTTCAGTGGTATGGTCGTTTGTTTTGTAGTTTTATTTATTAGGGAGATATGGTTTTACATTCGATATTTACAATTTCTGTGTTATTCGCGTCATGAGTTATTCTTCAGAAAGGTCTGATCGTAGTTTGCAGTGTATTGAACTAATTCTTTTTATTTTCTTAATGTGTTTCATTTTTCTTTGTCTATTTTGATGTCCACCATGGAACGTGGAATACATCGCGAATACATTGACATGACACCGTTATAAGCGGTCATGACATGTCATACTGTTTTCATTAAAAAAAATCGGTTAACGCATAGATATTACCAGAAAAAATACGTAAGAAGTAAATGTCGAATGAATTTACACCAGGACAATCTAACTTACTATATCAAATAACCAAGGTACTTCTAAATCGCTCAATTCACTGTAGGATCTCAGTTTTTCATTTCCTTTCTTTATTGTTCTCCAATTATTGATCTCATAAAGATCTTAAACAGGTTCGTGTATTTTAACTCATCAATTGTAAAGTGATTGTTCAGTGTGAACGGCGTGTTATATCTTAACGTTTGTATTTGTTGTCTTAACTTTATTTTGATTGTTATTTTCAAACGTTCAAAGAAAAATAATTTTTTGCATGATCCGGTAAAAAACAAATTAAAAAATTAATTAGTCAAATGCGTTATTGGAAGGGAGGCATTTAAGACTGTTTTAGAACAAAGTGTATTTCACTTGTTGCGTAGAGTCATTAAATGAATGTCCATGATACAGTATTACTTAAATACGATGCCAAATCATTAAGTCTTTCTACGTCTATCTTCAAAGACCTAAATGTTGCTAAACAGCTGTCCTATGTAAATGGCAAATATGTTGTTGTCCCCGCATACGAAACATTTAAACGTTTTTGTTTGTAAATCCCATGAAACTGCTTGATAAAGGGATTAGGTATTGACAATTCACTCGGAAACACAACATATATTTCCACGACACCTACCAAAATGGAAATCATTAACAATAAATCACATAGCATAAAATACCAGTAAGAATGATAAAAGCTATCATTAGCCTTTAACAGCACGTTAAGCTATAAAGATGAAACACTCTCACTACATATTCAAAATTTGGTGACTATGTTTAACTGATCTATCCAAGAGACTTTAAATAAAGGATACCACAGATACAGTTAAGTCTGCCCCATACCTTGGCTAAAATTTAGATTGACATTTCAGCAGATAGTCGGTATTCCAATGGTTACAAAGTGTGAACTACTGGCCGATTCGTTTTTGTACTCGTATGAAGCAGAATTTATACAGAATCTACCCAATGACTAAAAGAAAAAGCATCTCACAAAATTCTTTAAATTCAATTTCAGAAATAATGATGATGTCCTGTCGCCTAATAACACACATTGCAATGAGTGCGTACATCTCATATATCCAAGTGAACTTGATATTAAGGATATTATTAAAGTAGACGGTCTGCTACATATCTTTTTCCTTTCCTCGATATTGAAACAGATGGACGACTTTAAATTAGAACTAATGACAAACGTGGAGATCATGCGATTTCCTCAGAGTTTTTTTTATCTTGATTTGTATATTAAAAATGAACGTACGAGATTTGAACATCGGTAAAATACTGGTGTCTCGAAAACAAGGAAAGCATTTCAAGTCTGAAAAATTGGTTCTAAGATGTGTTAATTTTTACTTCATGTTTTAACGCAAAACTTTTATCAATTACGTATTTCAATGTGTCGTTCCTACAGAAAATCCATTTTTTCAATTAAACAATAAGTATTCAGCTACAAATTATTAAATTGGTAACAATGACAACCGTTATTTTTCATATAAAATGAAATTTAGATAAATCTTTTTTTTTCTTATCTGATTATCTTGAAATAAAAAAACCTGGTCGGTGATATATATTTTAGTTTCGGTAAGGTCGGCCAGAAATAGTATGGGTTGCAAAATGTTATAAAAAAAAAAACTCAATTTGGATTAAAACTCGTGGATGTGCCCTTACGCATTGGATGTCTTTCACGTGGATGTGCCCTGACGTATTGGATGTCTTTCTCGTGGATGTGCCCTGACGCATTGGATGTATTTCTCGTGGATGTGCCCTGGTGCATTGGAAGTCTTTCTCGTGGGTGTGCCCTGATGCATTGGATGTCTTTCTCGTAGATGTGCCTTGACACATTGTGTGTTTTTAATGATTTTATTTATTTTTGTTTTTTTTAAATACTATGTTGCTTTATTTCCGATAAATTAATGACAAAAAATACTCAGTATATCTTGTTTTGCTATATCATTACCCCACGCTATGAATTAGCAGAGTAACATAGTTTTTGACTCTCCTTTAATCAGTCAGTCTTTTTTCGTTTCTGGATACTAGCTCCAATACTTAATATAGAATTTCAAAGATACTTGAATATATGGTCACATATCATGAGATGAAAATCCCTATTAATGTTAAAGTCAATATATCAAAGGTAAAGGTCAAAGTTGGAAGAAATAGACAGCAACTTGTGCAAATAAAATGGTTTCCGGATATTTTATCAAATACTATACATAAGATTGAAAACTTACTTGGATGTATGGTCACATATAATGCGAGATCACTTTTGATTTTAAGACCAATACCTCATAGGTCAATGCCATAATTCTACCAAAAGTATACCATCATTTGTGCAGAAAAGTGCTTCCCGAATAAAAGAACACTATAACACGTAATTACGATGATAAACAACGTCAGTACCTAGAATCTATACTTCAAGACCTTCATGTATTATTTGTGAACACAATAATCTGTTCTGGCAACATTGAATACGTTTTTCAACAAAGAATATTCATGTTTCGTAACCAATGAGAAATTTTTCTTTAAAACAAAGAATAGCAGCTATCAAGCCCCCTGATAGAGATAAATCCAGAAAAGCGCGTCAGACGTCCACAATTTAGTAAGATCTATTTTAATTTTTAAATATTTTATAAGAATGTTTCGCCTGCGTTACTGATTATGATGGACAACCATGCTGAAATTATTCAAATCAGGCTTTAATTATGGGTACAACAATAAAAATTAACAAAACTTTATCAATGATCCATTAAAATCAGTCCACAAGCCACCTACGGGCCGCTCAAAGAGTTGTTGCAAGGGTTTTTAACGTTCAGAAAGCGTGGAACTTACTCTACACGACGCATCAATGAAATGAGGTCAAAGACATAAGAGCCTTGTCTGAAGAACATGTGTATCTTGTGATTATTCTATTTACCAAATGAGATTTGTCGTTTTACCCATTATAAATGAAAGAATCATGACAAAACAACTATTTTTTTAAGCAGTACCAGAACCATGAAAATGAGACCAAGAAGAATGGACAAATGCAAGAAGATAATTCAAAACATAAGGCGTCTGGGTACAAGTTATAAAGTCTCCAGGTCTTCTACGTTCTGAAATATAAAGGTTTAAAATAATAGTTTACGCCTTGTGTTCAAATGGCCCATAAGCTGTGTACTGATCCGCGATTAAAAAAAGGTTTGCCAGTACCATTAAAACAAACTTAGTGATTGTTCAGAAAAGAATGTTTATATTTGAAAAGTTAACCATGTAAAGTGATGTAAACACAGGTAGATAAGTGTAGAGCAAGGTAGGTACATTATTGCACAATAATGATGTACATGTAGGCAAGAATTCTTAATTAGATTTCCGTTTACAAATCAATTTGTATCAGAGCAGTGGGACTGGCCATAAAAGAGCTCAAAACCCAACTGTCTAGTTAAGATGAGTGTAATAATTTTAGTGCTAACTGTGTATAATCAATACTGATGTGATTGCAATAGTACTGTCTCAAATTAAACCTCAATAGTTAGCTCAATGCCAAAGGTTTATGACATTTCAGAGCATCAAAATCAAAAAGGTCCTAAACAGAACAGCCACTATCTTCAAAGATCAACTTTGCCTGGGTTGAAATGCAATATGAATTCTTGTAAAATTTTCGAATTCTATGGATAAAAAATTTAACATAAAGTGTATCATTCAAATAATGGCCACAATGAAACACTCCTTTCTTGGTGGCCTTTAATATACAAGAATTCAACATTAACATGTTTATTATGAATGAGAAGAAATGTATATAATATATTTAATAAAATACATATCACAGTATATTTTCACACTAAAAACATTAAGGAATAACATATCATGGTTTTTTTTTCAGAGTTTAAATTTTGCGATTTCTAGGGCCATAAATATCATTGAATATGATAAACACTTCGCAAGATTTATTTTTTTGCCTTTTCTACCTGAATCTGATCTTCCTTATTCCTTACAGGTTTACATGAAGGGATATCTTCCTGATTACATCTTCATCCCAAAATTAGCAAAAATAAACCCCTTAAAAATTACCCACTTTAATAAAGATCTTGAAATATCATGAAGAATTCCAAATTGAAAGGCAAGTTCATAACATTAACCAATGAAAATGCAATAAAAATATTTGGATGGAAAAGGAGATGACAGAGAGCCTGACCCTCCACCAGAATATACAATTTACTTTAAAATTAATCTTAAAAAAGGTGATTAATTTTAAAAAAGATTCATGCATGAATTGTATTTGAAGATTCACAAATGTATGGAATTTTCTGAAATCATCAAGCAATTATAAAATATAAGGAAAACTGACCATGTTAAATTTAATAATAATGCTGTTTGTTTTTGAGCAGTGACAATAAACTTTCAAATGGTTAAAAAGATTAAATTCTTTTTTTCAAATAGTCAAACTCATCAACAGGTAAGATTTTTTAATGGACATAAAATATAAAACAATCATATCTAAATTGTAAATAATCTATTAATAGTTTTCAATAAATAGAAGATATACTGATTGGTATTCTTTTTTAATGAAAGGAAAATGATCCATAAAAATTGAAGCAATGAAATAAATCAGATTATCAGACGAAAACTTGCTGTAAAAAAAAAAGTGAGATATATAACATTTAACTTGATGGACAAGTCTCTCCCCGTTTTTCTTTGAATGTTTTACAAATACATCCACAGACAATAGTTAAAGACTAATCTACAAAAAACTAATAACTGTAACTACATAACAATGAATGAACACAATGATTATGACTTCATTTAAATACTTAGTATCCACGCAAAAGAACAATACAGGGATGATCTATCTCAACAATATATAGAGTACAACTTATTACTGCTAAAAGTATTGATGCTTATCTATCTTTCAGTATGAATTGAATTAACTATTTATCTGACTATTTCAAAAAAGAATCATCAATGATACCAGGCTTATAATTTTGTACGCCAGATGAGCCTTTTGTTTACAAAAGACTCATAAGTGACTCTTTATAATAAAAAAAAAAGTACAAAGTTGAAGAGCATTGAAGACCCAAAAATTTTGAAAGGTTTTGCCAAATAAATCTAAAGTAATCTTGAAATGATTTAGAATTTGAAGAGTAGAGTTTTTCCTCATGTTATTGTCATGGTGAATCGATCTCAAGAGAAATTTATCACTCAAATAACCATGTTGAAATCTATCACTTTCTTCCCTTCATTTGATTAGAATTGAGGAATAACAGTATGGTATTGGAAGAGTTGCCACCATCACTTGGGCATTTGACGATTGCAAATGCAGTATTACTGTCAACAAAGAGCTCCATTCTGATGCAGTATTTTTAAATGTTCAAGAAAATATCCCAAAATTGTCGACTGCGATTGCACAACGTTATTGCCAATGACTGCAACCATCATTGCCTCCACTTAATATTTTATGGTAGATGACTGAAGATTTTTACTTTAATTCATAAAAATATCCAACATCATGAAGATGGTTATAATGTTAAATTAGACAATTTTGAAAGAATTAAAAATTACCAAAACTATTTCCAACTATTTCTTAGCAGTCAAATGTAAATTCTCTTTGTAATTATAATTCTAATAGACCTTGACAGGGCAGATTTATCAATTCTAATAAACAGAATAAGTTTTGCGGACGTAAAATCTACTGTTACCGGGCATTAAAACACAATTACCTATCTGTATATACAAACCTTGGAACCAGCCAAGATCATAGATTTTATTTATAACATATTGCATTGATATAGTATTCTAAATAATGATGTAAATATAGAATATATGTTCTAAAAATTAAGTTTGCATCAACTGCCTTGCAAACTTTAATAAGGAAACAACTGGTTTATTCCTTTTTTTTTTAAGAAAAAAAGTAAAGTTGGAATCCCTTGTCTGATAGTGAAAAAAAGAACATTTTCTATTTTCTCAGTTTTTTTCACAGATTTATTGCTATCAGTCCTCAACTTTACATAAATATCTGTAACACACAAAATGAAAGAAAATCTTTATACAATTAACATTAAAACAAATCTACACATTAAAAAAACATTATTAAACAATTTATCTACACATAAAAATCTGTCATAATATATTTATAAAAGAATATAAGGGAATGTATATATAAAACTGTGAATAAAATTGATGGGACTAAATGTTTTTTAGATTTACATGAGACTTGATGAGGAATTCTAACATGATCTGTATAGTGCAATATAAAAATTAAAAATACCTTCAAAAGAAACGGGACTTCTCAAGTTGTACATTTAATAATAATATAACAAGTGAAATTAGTAAAGCACAGCACAGTGGATATTAATTAAGTGGGACAATATTACACTTATTTCAATGCATTTTTGTGTATGAAATGTGCACAATAACAATTAACAAATATCCAACAACATTTTCTCAACATATTTTCTGCCTTGCTAAAAAATACCCTGATTCGGCCATTTGCAATTCATGTACAATATTTCTTCACAATAATCAACAATTTATCACATAGTCATTCTTTTGATTGTCTATTGGTGGGACAACTGGCATAATACACATTTTTAACATAAATATCCTATCTTCAGTAATTCATCAGTGGTAGATAGAAATATCTCATGACGGGTGTATCCAAATCCCTCAGTCTTATGATTGGATAACTTTGAATCTTACAACAAAAAACACACATAAATACCTTACTATTGTCATGTTCTTGTTCTGAAATAAACCTTTCCTGTATTTAGAGATTTGGGTACCATATAGGCAATCTGGGTACATAGAGGTTACATTTATGGATTAACTTAATGTACTTTAATATATACAGATGATTACAAGTTTGAGCCATTAAAATAACATTAATCCCCCTTCCAATGATGAATTAAAGAATACGGAGTGGAAGTCTGGCTAAAATAAGTCCTGTGTCAAAACCATGCTGAAACCAAACTATTCAATCTTTCAATTCCACTATTTAGAATATTAAGTATTATTATAACTCAGTATGTTTTTTCAATATAAAAAAGAATGCAACATTTGTGCTATTTCATTCCACAGACTATTTGCCAGTCAATCGTTTCAAAGACTATTACCCCGGTCAATAGTTTAATAAACATATTTCCCGTACTTTTTCATACTAATTTTGCATTGGACAACAATGACGTGATTGACTTTCCTGCTTGGATTTGTGTGCTTGGCAATGTTAAACTATGAAATATTGTAAATGGTATAATCTGTATGTGTCTGTCGTTGTAATTTCAAATTAATATATTACTTACCAGAAGCAATTAAAAAAGAAAAAGAAAATCTACATGAGATATTTTAAGAACTAAAACATAACAAATATATGGTATGGGTCTGTCGCCGTCTTCATAATCTGGGATTGCTTTGGTGTATGCATGGTAATATAATTATTATATAAGCTAGCATTTATTTTATGCACAGGAATTTTTACACAAGGATTCCTGATCTTGATTAAAGTAAATAAAATATTGACAAATATCACACAGGTGAAAAAAAACCTATTAGTTCATCTTGTGCATGTTTATTTGACTATTTAGTTTTTTTCCAAGTGGCGTATGTAGTCTTTTCAAAAAGTTGTTTTGTTCATTATAATAAAACACTTAATGACTGGTTATGAGTGTAATAGCAAGCTTGTTGTCCCTTTGATACCAACTATTGCCCTCGGCTTCACCTCGATCAATAGTTGGTATCTCAGGGACAACAAACTTGCTATTACCCTCATAACCAGTCAATAGGTGTATACTATAACCAACTAAAAACATAAAGATATCAGATGAATAACTATCAATGCTGTTGAAGACATTAAAACGGACAAAGGGAAAAAAATTAACATTCAAATTTCAAATTTATAAATTTTAAAGAATTGTTCCTGAGTTATGTATCTTTTTAAGTTAAAATACCTAAATTACAGCTTCCATTGTGAAATAAAACTTATGTTCCCGCATAATATCACACAAACTGTAAATTGTTCAATAACAAATCTCTTATTGCTGTCTTTCTTACGGAAATCTCTGATACATATTTATTTCTTTCCTTTTGGTTCTTCAAATTTGTTAGTCTTATTGAGGATTTTCATCAAACTTTTGCTCATAAAGTACGGTTTTTCAGGTGATCCATCATGCATTTCCAAATCTTCCACTGAAAAAAACAACAGAAGAAATCAAAACAATTGTTTAAGATATTGCACTGACAATCTAAAATACTAAATTATACTCAAATTGTGGATACCAACTCCAACCTTTGAAATTTTTTTTGATTTTTTGTGTTTTTGACGCCACTTTTAAGCACCGCTTTTGGGCTATTTCTTGGCGGCCAGTCTTTAATGGTGGAGGAAGCCGGAGCGCCCGGAGAAAACCACCGACGTTCGATAGGAAAACTGACAATCCTAGTCAATTAAGATTGGAGTCGAGTGCACCCGCACGAGCGGGGTTCAAACTCACAACCTCAGTGTTGACTGGCTAGTGATTACAGTAGTAACTACTTAGACCACTCGGCCACCAAGGCCCTCTTTGAAAAAGAAGAATAGGGTATATATATGTTTATGGTTTCTTGTGAAAGAAGCAACAACTGTTTTTCACATTGATAAATTGCTGTTCAATGACACTTCTAGCACTATTTGCTATATCATGGAGGTCAGTTTTCATTGGTGGAGGAAGCCGGACTGCCCAGAGAAAACCACTAACCTTCGGCAGGAAAACTGACAATCCTAGTCAATTAAGGTTGGAATCAAACGCACCTGCCACATGCGGAGTTAACTCACAACCTCAGTGATACAGGAGTTTAAGTACTTAGACCACTCAGCCACTGAGGTCCCACTTTGTCAATTAACATCAATCATATCACAAAATCTAAGTCTCTATATTTTTACAATTGAATCTAGGATCTAACTAAGTGCTTTAAATAATATTCCATTTTTCTCCTCTGGTCAGTAAACATGTCATTTTAAAATCTTTTTTCAATAGTAGCTTATCAATAATTCTTCTCGTCCAAATCACATAAATGATATTCAGCATATTTTAAATAATAAATAATGAATGAAAAAATATGAAACTGGCAATATGTTGGCAGTTTTTACTAATAATGGGTAAATTCATTTGTTAATGATGGGTAGAAACCAATTCTGCGAACATTAAAAAGATTAATTGGTACAATTTAACAATTGCCAATGAACATATTTTTGTAAACTATTCAGATTCCACACAATGTCTTCCTTTCAAGAATAAAATGTTGAAATATTGTGCAACAGTTGCATCAGAGCAATAAAATTGACGGACACGTTTTTTGAAACTCACGCTTTTACAAAGTATATATGGTACTCATTTAAAAAAAAACAAATAGGCTGTCTATGACTTATTCATGTTGCAGATCTGTACAATTACTGACAATAACAAACAAACAAACACAAGTACATAGCAACATACCCTCATTTGCAAAGAAATCAAAGTCAATAATATGATGTGTACTCCCCCTTCCCCCCCAAAAAAAGATGAAAAAAAATTAGAAAAAAAGATAGAAAAGATGCACAATGGCATTCTGTAAACAAATTAAAAAGTCATTCATAGACCTGTCATAATAAAATTTGTCTTTTAACTTCAATAAATCTATAATGTTTTCCTTATTATTCATACTCACAGAAACACAAGAATAGTGTGTCTACAGCCATGTTATACACACTGAAGAAAGTGCAGGCTATAATAAACATCCCAATCACTACAATCTGAAAATACAGGGGAGATAATTACAAATGAAAGGGGTGATAATTATATTACCAATTAAAGTTGATTGGAATAAGCTAGCTTGTACCTCATAATGGTTGTCATTCACTTGTTTCAATTACATTGCAATTTGATTACTGTTGAAATAATGACAATATAAAATAAAAATTCAAATTATACAAGATGGCTGATACAAAACCTACTTTCTGTGAATATATTCACAGTTTTTCAATATTTTTCAAGTATCCATTTTAAACAGAAAGGAATATCATACACAAAAATCAAAGATAAAAAACTATACGGTAAGTAATTCTGATATAACTTACCACCACTGGAGCAAGGAAGTAATTCAAATTGGGATTGTACTTCTGGAAAAAGTCTATCCCACCAGAAAACCAGAAATAGGCTCCCACACCTGAAAAAATATGTTTTATATCATAATTTTTACTCTAAATTAAATAAGGGAAATATCAAATAACATGTAGACATTTAATACTGTTTTCTTTTGGAATTGGAATATTTAATTTCTGAAGTGATTTTAAAGCAGTATGCAAGGTTATCAGTAGAACTTTTTCTCAAACAACTGTATTCCGATTGATGTCGAGGTGACATATGGACCTGTTAGACCAGGAAATTGACTGAAATTTGAACCCAAAGACCAATATTATTTCAATTTTAATCTTAGTTAAGCGTTGTCTGATCTGTAATTTTTAACGATCGTGTCCTATTCTAAATTGTGTGTGGATTTCTCCTTTTTGATTTAAATAAATTCCATCAGATTTTGGTAGTTAAGGATGTTCGCTACTCTGTTTCAAAATAACAAGCTTTTTAAAAGTCTGTTATAATTTGATAGTATATAAATAACGGAACTAAAAAAGCAGAAAAAAAAGAAGGGTCCATGTGCTTGTTTTCGAGATATAAGCCATTGAAAATTTGGCGGGAAATACTTCTCTCTAGATTTTTCATACATTTAACCTTGACACCTTCTTTCTTTCAAAAACGATGAAAAAATAACAAAGATTTTATAAGATTTTCAAAGATGACATTTTAAACTATATGTAATAAATTACGGAAAGAAAAGTAGGGGTTAGTGGGCAAATTTTTTAATGGCTCTACATGGATAAAACCAGAGGATTCCGAATATCTAGCAAAAATTCAAAAACAAGAGGAGCGAACATCCTTAACTTGATTTGTATCTTCTTTCAAAATTGTTGAATGAGATTTGAACATCGGTAAACTTTGCCACCTAAAATCAGACCTATCTTTCAAAAAGTCTAAAATCAAACCTATCATTCAAAAAGCCTAAAATCAAACCTATCGTTCAAAAAGCCTAAAATCAAACCTATCGTTCAAAAAGCCTAAAAATCAAACCTATCGTTCAAAAAGTCTAAAATCAAACCTATCTTTCAAAAAGTCTAAAATCAAACCTATCGTTCAAAAAGCCTAAAATCAAACCTACCGTTCAAAAAGCCTAAAATCAAACCTATCGTTCAAAAAGCCTAAAATCAAACCTATCATTCAAAAAGATACGTAATTTTACTCACCAACAGCTGCTGTTACCATCAGTTTGCTGATAAACAATACATAATCACAAATCTTGTCTAAAACAACAGCTCTGTAATATAAAAAAGGTTAACTATTATTACCAAAAATATTGCACAACTCAGCAACCTTAACACAAACAACTAATACTCATCAAAGAGACATTCTTCAAAATATGGATAACAAATTATCATTTTATGGTTATTGCAGTCTGAAAAATAAACTTGGTATCGTCTTAAAAGTAAGGTCAACAGTCATAGTTGCCAAGTGACATGATATTCGCGTGTAATACACGCTTTTTCAACGGTTTACATGCGAGGATTTTGTCACATGGCGTGTACACGCTTTCCACCACTTTACACGCAATTACACGCTTTTTCGTTGTTTTGATTTTTTGGTCATAAGTGATATCGCAATTCTCTGGTTTTTTCATTATTAGACGATAAATACCGAAAATTCCGAAGTAATTGTTTAGACGCCATTGTTTTTTTTTCTATCATGGTGGACGAACAGCTATGGCTCTTAAAAGTAAGTAGTTTGTGATTAGTTTTTACAATTTTTTGACAATCTTTCTTTCAATTTCACTTAGGGGAAATGTCCACAGAAAGAGGTCGCTTTCAGGGCCTGTACCGTCGTCTAGAGAGCCGATTGCTAAGCAAAAACGATGTGTACGTACCAAGTCCAAGATTCAGGATTTATAAATAAAACAGTTTGAGTTTAAATGATCGAGGGACCAGTAACACATTGTTCACCCTATGTTACAATCATAACAATATATGTGAGAGGGGAATTACAATGTAGCTATTTGATTAAACATTTAACATGTTTTATCAATAAATGGTAATCAAATTATAAAATATTTTTTCTTTTTCAGTTTCAAATCTAGCCAACAGATTTCCACAGGCCATAGGGGATGGAAATATCACGGAACTGTTGGATCAGTTCTCATAGTACCAGCTGTCTTCTGATTAACTACCCAGTTTGACCAGGCAATAGCAACATATATAGTTTGTTGGGAGCAATGGCAGAGATTAAAGATGACGTTTTAGATGGCAAAAAACGTTATGACACTCTTTCAAAGCTTGATAAAGCTATTTTAGTTCAGCCAAATATCAATTCTGACAGAGAGGGAGCATTTTCAATTATAAAGAAATTCACACTGAATTCTGATCAGAACTTGACAATGATATATTGTGTGCCTTGTTATCAAGTAAATGTAACCAAACTGGCAGTGCCAGTTGTTTTGAATATGTGCCTAGTGTTGTTGCTTTAAAAGCAGCAAAACAGACCACTGTTGAATACAATAAAAGTTTACAGTTGAACATTGTTTCTTATATTTAATAACAAATTTATATAATGTGAAATTATGAACATTGTTCACATTAAAAAGTTTGCATCTACGTCACACGTTTTCACACGCTTTTTGACATGTCATGTCATGTCATGACATGATTTCTCATTGTCAGAGGTTGGCAAGTATGTCAACAGTTGAGGTCATTTCTAAAGCAGACTTGTGCACTATATGAATAATAAGACCAAGAGAAACTTTATAACCTCAAAGCATCTGAACACTAATAAAGCAAGATAAATTAAGAACCATTAAACAAAAAATAAAGCAGGACTATATAAAATCGTGACATTTGTTGTCTGAGGCTGTATTTGCATGGTGGTTGATGCATGAACAGTGGAGGATGCGTACCCAGTCAACACACCCATTTGGTGTTCATGTTTTTTCTATATATAGAATTACTATACACTGTCTCGAAATGTAGAGCTTATTTGTAACTCTAACAACTATTCAAAATGAAATTTTTTGTGTCCAAACCATCAATTTTGTGAATTTCAAGCGAACTATTTAAAAAATCTGTTAGCTTATATTCTTTATTGACATCATAAATAAAACTCTACGCTTTGTCAACGTCATAAACAAGGGGATATACAGTCAGTGACTGTATATTACATATGAATATACCATCAATGCAATATGACTGCGCAAATATCACAGTATATAGGCTATTATGCAGACTTTGGCAAAACCATCCATATAATAATATCTTTCCTCAATCCACAAAACTTGATTCTAGGAAAATAAATTAATCCACAGTATAAGCAAAACTACAAAAACATAATTTTACCTGACAACATTCCTAAGAAGTAAGAAAAATGCTTCTTTAGCAGCAGAACAAAAGTTTCTTCCATACACTGCAGTCTGAAAAGAGAGAAAAAGATTCATTTGTATCAATTTGTTGCCTGGTTATTGACACAATGGCACAGAATCATATTTTAAGAGATATAACTAAATAAACTGTTAACACAGAGATATGTCTCGCCTATTTGTTATTTTGATAATGCAAATGTTGAAATTAAAATAGCAATACTTTACATGTAAGTTATGCAAATATTCAAAGTCAATGAACCATGACTGAAGGTACAGGGCTAAACAATCTCCATGGAAATGAGATGTGCCAATGCTAATACAGCTGCATACCAAATACCATTGACTTATTATAAGTCGTTCCCTTTCAACAAACATAAACACAAACATTACTTGTAAACTATGTAAAAGTTTCAAAGACAATGAACCATGATGAGGGGGTGGGGCTATATAATCCATGGATATGAAACTTGCAAATGCCAATACATTTGCACACCGAATATCATTGACTTAACATTAGTGGTTCATCTTAAACTGACCTAATCACAAACTAATACATGTAAACTAAGTAAAAGTTTCAAAGTCAATAGACCATGACTGAGGGGTAAGGACCAAATATTCTTCATGGAAATGAGATGTGATAATGCTTATACAACTGCATACCAATTATCATTGACCTACCACTAACAGTTCCCCTTAAACTGACTTAATCACAAACTAATACATGAAAACTAAGCAAAAGTTTCAAAGTCAAAAGACCATGAATGAGGGGCGGGGCCAAATAATCTCCATGGAAATGAGATATGCCAATGCTTATACAACTGCATACCAAATATCATTGACCTACCACTAGTGGTTCCCCATAAACTGACCTAATCACAAACTAATACATGAAAACTAAGCAAAGTTTCAAAGTCAATAGACCTTGACTGAGGGGTCGGGGCCAAATAATCTTCATGGTAATGAGATGTGCCGATGCTAATACAACTGCATACCAAATATCATTGACCTACCACTAGTGGTTCCCCATAAACTGACCTTATCACAAACTAATACATGTAAACTAAGCAAAGTTTCAAAGTCAATAGACCTTGACTGAGGGGGTGGGGCCAAACAATCTCCATGGTAATGAGATGTGCCAATGCTAATACAACTGCAGACCAAATATCACTGACCTACTACTAGTGGTTCACCGTAAACAAGACCTAATCACAAACTAATACATTGTTGACGCTGCGTCGCCGACGACGCTGGAAACAGCATACCTATGTCTCGCTTTTTGACTCCGTCAAGGCGAGACAAAAACTATCCTGAATGAAATTTCTGTTAAAATCTTTTGTTCAAAAAATCAATTTTATTATCTTTTTTTTATATATATATATATATATATACACGTCAAAGGAAGATAATTGTAATTTTTCTCCCTAAAATTCATTAATTAAAGATTTTTCATGTTCCTTGCCTATGATGAAATTCTATATTTTGAAAGATAGCTTTTCCCATTTCCCATTTATTTATTACTGTGGATTCATTATTATTCGGGGGATATCAATTTTCATGGTTTTCGAGGGTGCAGGTGAACCACCAAAGTTTAAATGTTCAATGAATTACAAATTTTCCACAGGTTTGCAGACTTTTGCAAAACCTAAAAATCAAATACCCATGAAAATGCAAGTATATCTCAATACACGAAAATTGGTACCCGCGAAAATTAATTAATCCACAGTATACTGTTGTCTCAATCTGTCACCACATCAGATCATAATTCAATATACTTATAGAGCTAGTGGAGGGATAAATATAAACTATAAATAAACTATAAATATTTACCATTATATAAGCATTTCTGTTCATAAACTTCACAAACTTTTCTAAACACCAGAAGCAGCATTTTAAACACCTAAAAAAGACATTTTATACACATATTTATATATTTGGTTAAGAAAGACGAACTCCACACACAGATCAAGCCTGTAAACAGAAATTATTCATGAAAAATGTTATTTTGATTTCCTGTTTTGAGCAGGATTACAACAAAAGGATATTTGAAAGCTTTGTAGTTATACAATATGTATTCTAAAAACAATTTTGTCCTTTCTTATGTATTGTTATGTTACAAAACAAACAAGACTAACAATGTAAACTGTATATTATAAATAAGTTTATAGAAATTCCACATGACTTATGTAAATATCAAAAAGCACATAACTGGACATGCACTTATCAACTTCAAAGTTTAAATTCCTAATTTCAAATAAATAATTAATAAAAGAATATGTGTTCATAGGACACCATGCTCCCTTGCACTATAACATTTCCATGTTCAGTGAACTGTGAAATTTGGGTCAAAACAGACACACACACAGACTGGAAAACATTTATAATGCTCTATACTATCATAGGCAGAGGCATAAAATATCAGTTATGATTTCATCCTCCTGACAGCTTAATGTTTAAAACAGGTTCATTACAATAACCGTATTGATACTAAGAAAGTTTTCAAGTGCGAATTGTTGTGATTTCTTTGCCATTCCAAAGGATGTTCTAACAGACCATTTTCATAATACCGACTTTAGACTCCAAAATTTATATTTTTTCGACAGGTTACCCCATCTGTGGTAGGACATCCTGGTACTCAGACCGGTAAGAGCAACGTAAAGAAGTTTTCAATCGGTACAATTTTGGGGGAAGTTAACTGTTTTATGTCTTCTATACACGACAAAATCATCAGAAAACAGTTAACTTTCTGACCAAATTGCACTGATTGTATATTTGATTTTACTTCTTTTGGTCACTCTTACTTGACTGAGTACCAGGATGTCCAACGGCAGAGTAGGTAACCTGTCAAAAAAGTCGGTAATATGAAAATTGTCTATTAGATACTTGTGTTCTGACTTAGTATTGAATATATATATATTTCTCTAATTCTAATCCAATTTATCCTTTTCCTGACATGTTGATTATTTTTATCTTATCAACGTGTGGTTCATTTGATCTCAGTTCCTCATTGATCAAAATTCGATTATGACGTCAAATTTTCTGGCTTTTTTCTGAATTTGCTATTGTGACGTCATGAAAAAAGGCGACCATGCCTGATGACATCATATAGAAAGAACACATCTTTTTGCAGATCATTCGAAAAGAAAGATTAAGATTGTCTGTATGTCGTCTAAAAATCATTAGAGAAACAGATTCCACCACCAAATCTAGTGCAATAATATATTTATCCACTCTTGACAGTTAAATTTTAAATATTTAAAAAGCTCGGTGAGCCTCACGTTTTAAATTTGAAAATTTTACTGACTCGAGTGGATAAATATTGTATCACACTTGATGCAGTGGTAGAATCTATATATACAAATCTAAATTGAAAACAACGTTCAAACCTATGATTGCGTATATATATATATGTTACAGTGAATTTGTATAATCAGGGATTATGTAGAATCCCTGGTTTTTCAGGGATTAAAAAAAATATGTAGAATCACTAAACTCATTAGTGATTATATATAATCCCTGAAAATGACCAGTGATTTTACATAATCACTGAACATTTTACTAAATATTTTTACAAATTCCCTAATATGATTTCAGGGATTATCAATAATGAAAAAAAAAAAAAATAAGGGAAAGGTTTTACCAGTGATATTTTATTTAACTGTACGTTGAACCACAATATTTCACAAACAAATAAGTATGGCAGAGGAAAATACAAAATGCAAGCTATGGACAAGGAACAAAAAATGGTATTTTTACTTTGATGACAAAAGAACCAAGTAAAAAAGACTAAAATCCTGCTTAATTCTATCTGCTAACAAAGTATATATTTAAATTGTTTTAAGGCTGCTATTATCCTATATATTTCATACATATTACACTCTTTACAGCATTATGCAGTACTATAGGAGGGGTCGGGGTTGGTGGGCATGGATCTAAAAATAGATAGTCTTCAATATTTGACGAAACAATAATATATTTTGTGAAAAGTCAAAACTAGATATACAAAAACAGAAGTACCATTTATATGATTTGCGTCTCATAAGTATACTTGTTTTTATAACAAATCAGTGGTTGATTCGAGTTGAATTGAGGGCTTTGTCCATAGAGGGGATAAATGAACATGAAATTCAATTCTGAGAGAAATAACGCAACAGAATTCTGCTAGCATCAGCAATCAGTTCACGGCTGCTGATTCCCTTTTTTTGGGTACCTTCAGATGATTGTATTACAAACTTTATTTCTCTTAGACATGCCGTAAAATCTGATTCGATATGAGAAAGACAAGGGTTTTTTTTAATGTGGATAGTGTAGTAAAACAGATGCGAATCAGGTAGATGTGCCTGTAGAAAAACAGGGCAAATGTGCAAAAGTTTCTGCCATCCAAATTTATTTAATGAATGTTTTAATATATTGTGCTTAACATTTTTGTATTTTGTGTAAAATATATTGAGGTTATCATTTTAATATATAGTGCTTAATATTTTAATTTTGTGTGACATTTTAAAATATTATGCCTAACATTTTTATTATACTTTAAGGTTATCATTTTTGTTGAGCCTGCGACTTTTGTCGCAGAAAGCTCGACATAGGGATAGTGATGCGGCGGCGGCATTAGCTTACTTCTTAAAAGCTTTATATTTTAGAAGGTAGAAAACCTGGATGCTTCATACTTTGTATATAGATGCCTTATGTAATGAAGTTTCCGTCTGTCACATGTCCATTGTCCTTGAACTCATTTTCATGGTTCAGTGAGTACTTGAAAAAAAGTTAAATATTTTTTGTAATGTTAATTTCTCTCTTATTATGAGTAATAGGATAACTATATTTCGTATGTGCGTACATTGTACCTTGCAGAGTCCTCATGCCCGTCAGACAGTTTTCACCTGACCTCGGCCTCATTTCATGGATCAGTGAACAAGGTTAAGTTTTGGTGGTCAAGTCCATATCTTAGTTACTATAAGCAATAGGACTAGTATATTTGATGTATGGAAGGATTGTAAGGTGTACATTTGCAACTGGCAGGTGTCATCTGACCTTGACCTCATTTTTATGATTCAGTGGTTATAGTTCAGTTTTTTGTTATGGTCTGTTTTTCTTATACTGTATGCAATAGGTCTACAAATTTGGTGTATGGAAATATTTTAGGATGTTTATAATGAAGTTTTATTATGATTTGATATTATAAATTATTTAGTTTAACTTACATTCATTTTCTTCATACACAAAACTGTTTCTTCATTTCAGTTATTATGCATACTCCCTGATGTCTTTTCTAGTGATTATACATAATCCCTGAAAATTTCAGTGATTATATATAATCCCTAAACTAACCAGTTATTTTACATAATCCCTGAAAATTTCAGGGATTATGTAGAATCCCTGATTATACAAATTCACTGTAACATATATATATAGTGTTAACAGTGATGGTGACCCGATGGATGAAATCTGTCGAAGAGTTTTCACTTGTTCAGATGTACTTATAATATAATTATTTCTGTGACTGTATCCTACATTAATTTGTAAGATCCTCTACGATAGATAATTTAGCTGATCTGTAATATCCAATCTTCATGCCTTATATATCATGCACTGTGTTACGACGCTAGATAAAAACTGACCAGGAAAGGTAACACCCGGCCACCAAACGCTTGATTTTTATCGAGCCTAGGTTGTTGAGTGGTCTAGCACGCCGGGAATAGTGCAAGGCGATTTGGTGCCACGATATCTCAGTAGCATGAGTTCGAATCCCGGCCAGGGAAGAAAAAAAATTTGCAGATCTAACATTGTTTGGCTGTTATTTAGACGAATTATGTATATATATATCTTCAGTTTGATAGCAGTTCTTAATTAAGTTAATTAAGTTACTTTATATAATTTGCAAAGAAATATATAACTTAAATAACATGAAATATATATAACCCCTTACTTGAGGAAGAACTTCGCTACTGGATTTTCTTTTCCTTTTATTTTATGATCAAGATATTCCAATACAATCCTGATCATCTGTATAATTGCTATGATAAGAGATCCAAATGCTAGTGTTCCCAAATGATATCTGAAAAAGAAGACATATAATTTTTTTGTGAAACATTACATTTTATTTATTACATGATTTTTATTTTTTCAATTTTTTATCAAATACAACACATATATAATCAATGTGAACTTTATTAAAAGCTTTTACATTTCTTTTTGCTGACGATAGATCTACCTTAGTAGACTTAAATACTTGTATTATTTCCTGCTTAAAGAAACATTTTCTAAAAGCTACCATTTTTGTCTGTTACACACATGATAATAAAAACAAGGGGCTTTCATTTTTTGAAACCCAGATGAAAAAAAAAAACAATAGTATGTCCATAGGACATGCTCCACTTGCAATATCACATTTCCAAGTTCAATAAACCACGAAAATCTGGGTCAAAACCCTATTTTGGCAATTGTTGTAAAAAGTATACATCGTAATGAACATGAGTACTAAATTTCAATTTTTGTGGTAAACCAAAACTTTAACCTGATACAGAAAGGATGGATGCACACAGGCACAGACGAGAAAACAATATGCCCCATACTATCTCATAGGGTATAAAAGTGAAAAATAAAAATTTTTGGAATTTGAAGTTTAGGAACAATGGAATTTTGTGAGAAAAAAAATGAAAGGATGGCAGCATAATATACAATTTTATCAGAAATTAAAAAAAACAACATTTGCACAGAAACGTGAGAATGAATTAAGATTCATGTTACAGTTTAACAGGATATAGCAAAGTCTTTGCTTTTTATGAGAAACCCATAAAATATTTACATATTAAACAAGAAATTTTCATTGAAATTCAATTACAAGTTTAGGAAAAGTTATAGACAAAAATTTCAGTTGATGAATTAACACTATGATATTTTGTAAGATACTCTATGCAAGGGAAGTAACTCACCTCAAACTTCTGTAAAAAGCAGCAGTAAGTGGGAATGCTGGAATGTCCTTGGGCTTTTCAAATGCCCAGTAGTATGAAGCAAATGATCCAGCAAGAGTCATCTGACCCAGAGCAACAATAAAGTTCATTACCCACAGAAACATGAACAACATAAACACTAACACAGGTATGATGTATCTGGAAATAAAACATGTATTTACAATAAATTTATGTGCGGTATGCGTATGAATTTCCTGATCTATTTTAGTCTCTTGTTTTACAAGAGTATAAACTAGTTATGCAAATTAGTAAAGTATTTAATAGATTGAAAACGGGTTTTAAGTTTATCGAAGGCTGGGCAGTGACCACTCGACTTGAATACAATTTTTTTTTTATATTGTTAAATGTTTATAAGACATGTGCAGTGAATGTGTTTTTTTAGTATACTGATTTGTTATGTTTATTTTATAGATTTGACACGGTGAAGTGTTTAAGCAGCGGTGTTTAAGGACATTATTGTTTGATGAAAAGACATTTATAGAGAATTGATTATGTTAACTATGTTGAATAAACGGAAATGGTTACCTATAGAGAATTGATTATGTTAATCATGTTGAATAAATGGAAATGGTCACTGTGCCTGTTAGTATCAGAAACAGTCTTGTCTTATTTGAGGAAATTTGATTTATTAAATTATAGTTTATACACGACACAATGTATCTTCTATCTAAGAGTTAAGAAGCCTCCGTCAATCTATTTTTAGATTCTATTATTGTTTACTCCTAGAGGGGGTATGTGTTTTGATGACCTCGTTATCAGATTTACGAACTTACCTACACGTGTATCATATGTTTTTTAATCAGCTATTTGTACAAGAAAATTACACGAAGTTAAAAACATAAATATGTTATTTTCGTTTGAACATCGTGAACTTAGAACATAATGTACTATTGTGTATTCATTAATATTTTTGTCATACTTATTTTCATGGATAAATCAAACAAAAAATTCAAATCTTCAACAAAATACAATTTTAGTTACTTTAATGGTAGCAAATGATTATACCACTGAATTGTTTACCGAAATATTAAATTTTGCCGAAACATTGAATACTGATTTAAAACAAACACTCTTTAATCAGAGTAATACAATATAATTTAGGTACAGCGATCTTTTTATATTTTAAGATTAAACTCATATCTTGAGTTTATCTGCAATAGCATTTGATGTCACACATCAAAAGGAATTTTGCTTTGCAAGTATATCTGAACTGCAAACTTCTATAACTTAAAATTGCACAGTGTATATTTTAAATGGGATATAGTAAATAGTGATCACTATTTTACTTTCAATAAAATTTGTAACTTGCATACAAAAATTTTATAACGGCAATAAATATGTTGATTTTTTAATAATCAATTCACCAATGATTATGTACAACAGAAAAGTTTAATTGTAACTGCTTCTTCTAACAAAACTGAACAAATTTTCAGAATAGAATTATAAATACAACAAAAATTTAGTATGTGTTAACCAATTTTCTTGCAAGTGGTCAATGATTCAATTTTTAGATTTCTTTCAAAAAATTATCAGATATTAACATTCAAATTGCTCATGATGAAATCTACTTTAATGTCCAATGAAGTTTTACCAGAACAATCTTGATTTCAATACCTAACAATGTTTCAATAACTCTAGGTTTGAATTCAAATAGAATTGATTTGTTGCAAGAAAAATTGGTTAACACTTCAATGGTTTCTAGTGTAATACTCACTCTTCACCTCCATATTTCACAAAGTCACAAAGTTGTCCAGCTGTTGAAGACTATGAAAAAGAATATAACACTTAACAGAACTAGTTATATAAAACTTATTTACACAATACCTTTGCAAGTATTGTAGGAAAAAATTAAATATTTATTTGAAAAAAGATCCTTGTCCGATATTCAGGCAATTTTTTTTCAAAACAAGTGATTGTTTACATATTCAAATTATTGGGTGTTGAAAAATATTTAAAATGTTGCTTAATTCATATTATGCTAACAAATGTTGATAAATCAGTAATTTTGATGTTTTCTCTTTTTTTCATGTTGTCATGGTTTATTTCAACAAAACTAAAAATAAACATGCACACGAAAGTTTAAAATCACTGCTTCAAATTGTGAATACACAATGATAATGAGCATATATTATTTTTGCCAGGTCTAAAAGCCACTGTGATACATAAATACAAATGTACTAATGTTTCAGACCTATTTTTGAGTATGAAACATTTCTGAAATAAGCTTCATCAGTTATGCTCGAGTTTAGAAGCAAACGATATTGAGTGTTTCAGAGCTTAAAAATCAAAATACTGGAAGCCAAAACAGTACAGTCAAAAAAATTATTACCAACCAAAAATACCCAACTCTAAGGTATTTCAAAGAGGGAAAGTCCATCAAAACTGACCTATAGTTGTTAATTTCTGTGTCATTTGGTCTCTTGTGGAGAGTTGTCTCATTGGCAATCATACCACATCTTCTTTTTTATAAAATCAAACTTTAAGACTATATCGACTTTATCAAAACCATCTAAGGTAAACTCTGCCTTAAGGAGGTTCATCCTTATTTTTTAAGTAAAATTACGAAATTTTATGAACTGAAATTTACATGATTTAAATTAGGCCAGTACCAGAATACCAGTTACTGATATAACCCATTGCAACCAACTGGAAAAAAAAAAAGTTTCCACATGATGGTAAATTAAGGGCTGTATAAAATCTCATTTTTTTAAGGACTATAAATACTGGTAATGTAAAATTATCAGATCCGTAAGCCTCGAGCTCCATACAAAATAATTAATAATAAAATACCTACCATTACTGAAGGAGAGGTGTTATAAATGATATTTAAAGCTTATAAATATATAGTGCCATTTTAATTAATAAGTGATTAATGCAATTTCAGTGCAGTGGAAAAATTTGCAGAAATGTTACCGTCTGCAGCAAAGACATCAGGAGAGAGAAAATAAGAAAGGAAGAGTATGTTAATTTTTCATAAATCTTTCATCAATGAAATAGAATAAACTGCTATGGTTTGTGAGAGTATTGGTAAAATAAAATTAACCATTGAAGAATAACTAGAAGTATAGAACAGATTTGCTGCATGACAAGAAGAAGAATTCCCTGTAAATATTCATAAATTTATTTGTTTAATGTAATAGACTTTTTTTCATATTACCGACTTTTGATTCCGAAGTATATATCTTTTCGACAGGTTACCTTCTCTGTGGTTGGACATCCTGGTATTCAGTCAAGTAGGAGCAACTTCATCAGAAAAACAGTAAACTTTTCCCTCAAATTGCACCGATTATATGTTTGATTTAATACTTCTTTTGGTTGCTCTTACTTGACCGAGTACTTAAGGATGTCCTACCACAGATTAGGTTACCTGTCGAAAAATTATATAAACAAAAGTCAGTAATATGAAAATAGTCTATTGCTTAACTACTTAATAAGGTATTTTTCATTCCAACTAACTTTGTCGAGTATTGTTGGTTATTCCTATCATACTATTTTATGTTTTATGTATTGTACACTGAATTTATAAACATTTAAAAAATCTACCTCTAAAAAATTCTCTTTATTTCAGTTAACCAGTACTTTAGAATCATTTTGAGATTTTTAGTTGTTAATGTCAACTCCCAGTTGCCAAATTTTAACCCCTTTCAATACAGAATTAAATTACAAGCTTTTTATATAAAAGTACATGTACATGTAGTAAGATAACAACAGAACTGTATGTTTTAACATTAGAAAGAAGAGAATCTAATAAAAAACAAAAACATAAGTAATTACTTACATCAGGAGTACATGGTGTTCTGGATAGATAGTAGTCCACTCCATTGGACGTTGTATTGGTCGAATTAGAGTAAAATTCAGAATTTCCCATAGAAGCAATGTATCTTTGTTATGTTAAGGTAATCAAAATTTTTCATTCATTTCCTCTTCCTTTCACAAAAAAAACTGTTTAAATTTCAATTGTACAAAAATATATATACATAGTTCTTTTATTTCATATATTATTGCGAACCCAATGAAAGTTTTCCACAGTGCCATCTCTATCTTGACCGGGTATTTAAACTTTTGCAAGTTCACCTGTCCTATTGAATAAATACAATAGCTATTGTTCTCTGTGTAGTTTATTCTCTGGGACCTTTAAATTTCTTCAGAAATCAACTTTTTATGATTGAATCAATGTTTATATTAAACTGAATGAAAATATATTATAAATATTGAATAACTACATCATCACACGCAGTTAATGAGTATAAAAAAAGTATTTTTGTCTATATATAAGATCATTTTTTTACTCAGGTAATTTAATCAATGAATGATAGATTTCTCTTAGAAGAAATTTAAAGGTCCCAGAGAATAAACTACAAGAGAACAATAGCTAGCTATTGTATTTATTCAATAGGACAGGTGAACTTACAAAAGTTTAAATCACTTGTCAAGATAGAGATGGCACTGTGGAAAACTTTCATTGGGTTCGCAATAATTCCATTTTCATTTCAATAATAAGAAAGAGAAAAAGTTTATTATTACTCATTAGAAGCATTTAATTTCTTGAGGTATTATAATTGCTTTTTTTGCTTGAAATGGGATTTTGTAAATAATTTCGTGGATATCTGTTCTACTCATTTGTTGCAAAAACAAATGATAAAGTTGAAAATTTTTAATTTCTACTATGTAGGTAAATCATGTAGGTAATGAACAGCTGTGTCATGAGTGAATGATAAACTCTTCCACAAATCCAAAGATAAATTGTGTTCAAGAAACCCAACATGGTTTAAAAATGGTATTCCATAAAACATAAGAATATTGAGTGATGTGCCCAGAAGGATGCATTAAAGAACAGAGGGTATACCAAAGTACTTTCTCTTGGATGGGTGTATTAAAAAAACGATAACTGATATATTTGTTTGAAAATTATTCCAAAAGACATGTTGTTTTCCTAAATAATTCAAAAGTGTTTCTTCCATACTATAGCTTAAAAGCTATTTCTTTGGCAATTTGTTCTCTTAAATTAATCAGTAATTCACATGATACTGAGGGTTTCAATTTTTGTGGATTCAGGAAAGATTCTGTTTTTGTGGTAACTTGATTTTGAGCTTTAAATCTTAAAAAATTTCAATATATTGAATATCTTAATTCATGATTAACTGGTACCCATGAAATCCATGAAAATTAGAACTCCCGAATTATAATTAATTCACAGTACTCTTTCATCAAATTTTCTAAAAAAGGATACGCAACACTGAATCCCATGTATATGAGCAAACAAATCTGTAACAGGAACGGTATTATAGGCCAAAACAGCGTAAAAATCATGTTTCCAATAGCTCTACAATAGAAATATATTAAAGTCTGGTAACAAAGGCTAAAATAAATTATATATATATGTTTCAAATTGATATTATAATACAACTGCAGACAGACAGACTTAGGACAACCAAAAAGTTACATGATATAACAACTTTCTTGCAAGTGGTCAAATCTGTTTAAATTTTGTTTAGCATCCATGGAGAAAGGGACTATTCTTATACCTCATGTTTAGTGTTTTTCAGGTCACTGTAAATTCGTTTGTTTTGACCAGATATTTTGAACAGCTGATGTCTTCTTATTTGGTAATGAAGTTGGTATGTTTTTTTGGATAAATTTGTCACACAGGGACTGAATAACTTGAATATGTAGTATATATACACCAGTCAGAAGGGGATTTTCGTTTTGATTTTTAGAAATTACTTTATCTGGTTAGAAATGCATTAAGTGGTATGCCTCCTTATATTATTATCTAATGCAAATTACCTGCTTCCCTCTTTTATCAATTCAATAGCCAGGCAAATTCTACTGCACAATATCAACAAAAGGAAGACAAATATAGCCAGGAATGTTGATGTGGTACAAGCTGAAAAACAAACCAAAAAATAACGATTTCCTTAAGGTTTATGAAGGATTTTGTGATGAAAAGTGCTACTTTTATTTTCTTCACCAACGCATACAAAATGACCAGCTACTTTTTCAACCAAATAAAAACTTACATGGCAAGTAGAAATACTTGACAGTCATAACCATATTTCAGTATAAGCAACGATTAATGAAATATTGTTAAATTGTTGTGAAAAGTGTCCAAGAATTTTCTGTGTTTAATGTTAAAAATTAAACTACTTTGGTAATTTGCAATTCTTCACTCTGCATCGTTTTCAAGAGTTATGTTCTTTAGCCTGGCACCACTTTAAGTTAAATGTACATTTAAGATACCAAATTCAATGTGTTTGACATTTATCTAACAAAATCTCCATCGGAGAAACCAAAATAATGTTTTGACACTTGATAACTGATTTGTACACATTTCAAATTCTACCCCGATCCTCAGGTTTTGTCGTGTTAATACTCATCTTCAAAAATTTGGAGTTGGAAATTTCATTTGGCAATGTCATAGTAAACAGACCAGAAAGTTAAACAGAGTATTGTCAGATTCTAATTCTTATTTGCTGTTACAAAATTTTGGAAATTATTTAAAATGAAGGAATGTATCTTCCTCATGCAAAGCTCTGGTTCCTTGCCCGGCTTTGGCTATACTTTTTTGTCCTTTTTGGTTTATAGCTCTTCATCTTTTTAATTAGCTTTGGATTTTCAAATATTTTGGCCTCGAGCATCACTGAAGAGACATTGATTGTCGAAATGCGCATCTGGTGCTGAAAAATTGGTACCATTATGTTACTACAATCAAGGCATGTTGGAGGCCGTACCTTGACCTATAATGGTTTACTTATATAAATTGTTACTTGGATGGAGAATTGTCTCATTGGCACTCATACCACATCTTCCTATATCTATGTTCACAGGATCTATATTCAATCAGATAGTTAAAATTACTTCAAAGAAAATTAACTATTTTTTCACAAGTATTGCAGCATTAAATAACTGCATGTAATTTGTAATCAGCATCCTGTTAATAAACTTACCAAAAGCCAGCCAAGTTTCTTTCAGTTGCAGATAATAGGAAAAATTCAGAGCAAAAGCTTCATCAAATCCCCATTTGCTCACAACATTCGTATCCTTTATTTCATAATATTTTATAAAACACCAACAGGCACCTGTAACAAACAAAAAATCAATCTAACAAATAGTTTTGAAATAACTGAGAGAAAAAAATCATATGATAAAAAAAATGGTATTTTTAAGGTAACCACTGAACCATAAATATGAGGTCAAGGACAACTGACATAAGTCAGACAGACACTTTAGACCATGAGGCTACAGTATGCAAGATAACTAGATTATCCATCTCTTATGCTTTCTGAAATATAATGCTTTGTACAGATAGTTAACACAGTCCAAAGCATCTCTGTCTTGTAATCTAAGTCTTTTGTTCCAGGCAAGACAAAAACCATTTGTCAAAGATACAGACAACACTACCGCCAAACCCCCCTCCCCCCAAGGATGCAGGTGTTTCCATACTAAGCATATAACTGGTTAATGAAAATATATGAAAACAGGAAGTAGTGTCTGACAGATCAGACAAGTGATCACACTTTTCAACTCATCACTGTCAAGCTGCTGACCAAATATAATGTCATCCTGTTCAGAAGTACTGGAGAAATGTGTTGCAAAATGTTTTAAGTTCATTCAACATATTAAAAGGATAGGTATTGGCAAACAGGAAGGTGGTGACTCTGACAGATCCAAAAAGTGCTCATACATTACAACACATCACTGTTAAGCTACTGGACAAATATAAAGTCCTTCTGTTAAGTATTACTTAAACTTTGAAGGACATTTATGTTGGACAAACAAATAAATAGACAGACTGTTGTTCAGTGGTTGTCGTTTGTTGGTGTAGTTTGTTTCTTGCTTCTCGTTTTTTATATTGATTAGACTGTTGGTTTTCCTGTTTGAATTGTTTTACACTAGTCATTTTGGGGCCCTTTATAGCTTGCTGTTCGGTGTGTGCCAAGGCTCCGTGTTGTAGGCCGTGCTTTGACCTATGATTGTTTACTTTTTACACATTGTGACTTGGATGGAGAGTTGTCTTATTGGCACTCATACCACATATTCTTATTTATCTGGACAAATAGAATGCAATTGAGGCCCCACGCTTTTTAAATGCTGTTTTTCGTAAGGCTCAAGGCAGAAAAAACAGGTATGAGGATAATCACTATCTTATACTTGTTGTGGGCCACACCATGAAGTTTTGAAATCATAGATAACCAAACGATTAGTCTCATGTACTGTGGATTTCATTATTATTTGTTGGATACCATTTTCGTGGGTTTCATGGGTACAGGCGAACCACCAATTTAAATGTTCAACAATGACAAATTTTCGATAGTCTTGTATGCAGACATTGGGAAAACCAAGAAATAAACTATCCATAAAAATGCTAGTTTTCCTAAATCCATGAAAATTGGTACCCACGAAAATAAATGAATCCACGGTGAATTTTGTTTCTGTCTGCCTTAGGGAGCTACCATCTGATTTTTAGGGGGGGGGGCTAGGATGAAATTTGAAAAAAAAGCCGGACATGATTTTTGAGTTAAAAAAAAGGCAGGATGAGCAACTTGGCCAAAAAAAAAAGGCAGGATGACAATTTATGTAAAAAAAGTCAGGATAAACTAATAAAAAAAAAGGCAGGACCGAATAGAGTGAAAATAAAAAGGCAGGACAGAGGTTACAACTAAAAAAAAATGCAGGACAAAATTTTTCATCCTAGCCCCCCCCCCCATAAAAATCAAATTGTAGCTCCCTTATGGTTAACAGCATAGATTTTTCAAACCTTTATATAAATTATACAAATGTAGATTATGTAAAACACTAGTAGTAAGTGATAACCATAACATGTAGTGGTATTCAAAGCCTTGGATAAAAAAAAATCATCATTTCCTGATAGAATAATTACTTACAAGACATGACTATAACTCCAATGACTTATTGCTTAATATATTCGCAACTCTAAAACAGTTTGTAAATTACAATTACTTACCAAATCCCAAAAGTCCAATAACCATGAAGATACTGATCCAAACCATAGCTCCTGATACCCATCTCATTATTACAATCCACAGGAAGGCAAACACTGTTCCCATTCCAAGGAAACTGGAATATTGATAATTAACATATTGCTAGTTGTTTATTAAATGTTCAGCATTATAATAATTAGAATGACAAACTTAATATATGTGCAAATGACCCTACCATACATTTGATAGGCTGAAAACCCCCTTTTAGAATTGTTTTCGGCCACTGATGCATCTTACAGTACGCCATGTTTAAAAATATTATTGAAAATTAATCATTATTTGATTATAAACAAATGTAACATAATGGCCTATTTCTGAATTCTATTACTGTAAATTCAGAAATCTTTGCATGCATTTATTATTGCAATTGTTGTACAATGCCAATGGACAAAAAAATTGGAGTTTTATTATTACTTTTTCAGGAAAAGCAGCATTATAAATAATGCTATCAAAAATTAAAATGTGAGATTTTATTTTTTCAAACATGTCCCGTTGCAATTTTCCTAAATAAAAACATTGCGATTTTTTTTTAATTTACGGTATTTATTAACAAATTGATTGACAGATGTTATAACAAACCATATGAAATCTACATGAAAACAACATTTTCAATCATTTCTAGTTAAAAAAAACCAAATCATCCAAATTTAATGAATTAAGATAAGTACAGCAACACTCTCTGCTCAATAATCTCATATAAATGAACATTCGATGATTATTTTAAATGTGTATTTTAAGTGACTTCAAAAATCACATAATTACATAATTACATCAGAATCAGGTAACCGGATGCTACTATGTCTTTCATTACCATTTCAATTTGCTGCACTGCAGAGTAAAAATGTGCCAAGTATCTGCAATAGAAAATCACTAATAATAAAATGTGCTTTCCATTCCTTCCAACTAATTGACAAAACTATCAAGTATTCTAAAATGACATTTTCATTTAAACTTAAAGACAGTATAGATCTTTAATAATCTGTATTAAATTTATTTATATTTTTTCTAGACTAAGTGTGATATTGTACAGTCATTTTTTTTTTTACTATATTTAACAATAATTATGAGGAAACATGATAATTGATAAATGTGTGAGTCTTATGATCAAAACAAAATATTTTTTTTCTTTGCATTAAATTGTGAATTTGGCCTATTCATACATTAACTACTGGAGCTATGCATGCAATAGAGTGCTTCTGTATAAAATTATTTCAAAAATACTCTTGGGATTATAAGATTATATATTAAGCAGTGTTAAAATTTATGCTTCAATAGATTTCATGTTAAGGTACATCTAAATCTGTCTAAACCAACCACAAGACAGGTATAGTTTCATTACAAAAGATATCAGGGAAAAAATCAAGAATTGTAAAGATCTTAAATACTTACCCGCTTGCGCTACTAATTAATGTACCGGTAAGACTAGTCCCACTGCTTGTTTTAAGAGTACGATTAGTTCCACCACTATCTGTATAATACAAATCTGCTGCATAATCTGTAATTGTGTTAAATATAGATGGCACACACCTGTTCACCACTGAAAAAAATTTAAAGCTGCATAAGTACATTCGGTCATCCAGTATTAATGCTCAAGTAAGTCACCACCTTTAGCAGCCATATTTTTTTTACATGGACAACAAGGTATAAAGCATACTTCTTTGGTACCTTACAAGAGGGTGGTAAAGGGTTATTTTCGTGCAACGTGTTTTGCCATTTTTATTTCACGTACAGCCGTGAAAAAGGTTCGTTATTCACTGTGTTTCGTGAAATCAGTAAAAAGATCAACGTGCAAGAAATTTTTGATCATTCGTTCATCGTGAATTGGCAATTTTATTTCGCGTTCTTCCGTGCAGATACCCCCCTTTAATGCCCCTCTTACAATAACCCTCCTACCATAGTTGGATTCTTCAATTTGTCAATAAGTTCTGCAGATGTCAAATTTTCAACCTTTCAACCAATTAGAGTAATTATTGTCATCTTAGAAGGGACACCAAAGTTTCAATATTGGTCAGGAACATTTCTTCGACTGGCCTATCAATTTTTCAAAAAACTTCAGCAACTGAAAAGTTTGCACATCTGAGATTTATTAGTCACACCAAGTGATGCTAGTAACCTTGTGAACTTGCACACTTATAAACTGTTGACACAGAGATATGTCTCACCTGTATCCAATTTGAATAGAAAATACAAATAATAAAATTTGAATAGCAACACTTTACATGTAAAACTATGCAAAACTTTAAAAAGTTCATGGTTCATGATGGAGGGGAGGACCACATTTCTCAGAGATGTGCCCATGCTTTTACAACTGCATACAAAGTATCATTGACTTACCATTAGTGGTTACCCTGTAACTCACCTAATCACAAACTTCAACTATTGCAAACACTGCCAATTGCCACAAACAGCACACCTTAACAAATTTGTCAAGACAAGAAAAAAATCTGGCTTAAAATGTTTATCCAATAAAAAGCAGGGGTCAAGACAAGACAAAAATCTGGCTTAGAATGTTTATCCAATAAAAAGCAGGGGTCAAGACAAGACAAAAATCTGGCTTAGAATGTTTATCCAATAAAAAGCAGGGGTCAAGACAAGACAAAAATCTGGCTTAGAATGTTTATCCAATAAAAAGCAGGGGTCAAGACAAGACAAAAATCTGGCTTAGAATGTTTATCCAATAAAAAGCAGGGGTCAAGACAAGACAAAAATCTGGCTTAGAATGTTTATCCAATAAAAAGCAGGGTTCATATTCATATTATACTGATATGTTCTCTGCCGGTATGCAATATTTGCAACTGGACATTAAATATTTTACGCATGATGACCTTTAAGCTAAACCAAAGGTCACAACTTACCATCTGTTGAATCCATATAATATGGTGCACATTCATCATCGTCTATAAAAGCTTGAATGTCAGACTGCAAATATAATTGTAAACATTTATTAAATATGTGCCGATGTATAACAGGAGGATGCTTATAAAGGCTCTTTATTTGTTAACTTCTGTGTCATTTGGTCTCTGGTGGAGAGTTGTCTAATTGGCAATCATACCACATCTTCTTATTTATATATTAGCTTCATTTAGTTCTTCATTTTTTATCCCTAGACCTTACTGATTCATGTCTTGAAAGCACTAACAACTGTAAAGTTTATATATTTTATTTTACTTTTATCTTCTGTCTGGTACTTCATTTATATTAGAACAGTGTGATTTTACACAAAAAGAAAATCAATATGTTTTTAATGACTCAATGTAAGAAGAGTTTCAAATGGAGAGTCTAAGAAATATATATCATTTTTATAAGTCTAAATAAAAACCTATACTTTTTGTTTGAACATTAGAATTTTTTTATAATTTTATAATGATGCTGAGAACATACACTGGAAGCACTAGTGGTAGGTTGTGGTGAGATCCAGTCTTTACAGATCATCTTGTCCACGTCAGCCTGTGTTAAGGTTCCAAGTGCTGCTGCCTTTGTCTCTAAATATACATAATAACCAGTTGGACAGGCAGCTCGACACACCTGAAAAAAAATTTGTTTGTAAATCAAAGGTGAATATACATCAAAACTATAAATAGATTGTCCAATTGTTTGCTTAATGTCCAATGGCAATTATTTCATGTATATTCAGAATGTTATATAGTTAGCTTGTTTTTCATGTGTAGTGTTATATATATATATAAACAAGTCTAAATTGAAAACAACCTTCAAACCTATGATTGCGTTGGATAAAAACCGCTATTTTTATACGTGTGCATGCAAAACAAATTTCTTGTTAGAGGGGTCTAAATACAGCACAAACAACATTTTCCAAATGACCAAAAAAGTGAAAAAGTATATTTTAACAAAATGCATTTGCCTACAGGTCGAACAACAAATGTTCTTAAACCCTGCCGACTGCCATTGGCGATTGCCAAATAAACGCATCACCAGGTGTAATAAATGGATCTTATATATATATATATATATATCTATACTTGTTAAGGGACAATCTCTTAATAAATAATACTTTGCAATTTGAGCAAACTAAGAAATAAGAAGATCTGATTTCTACTTTATGTATACTGGGTAGATAGAAAAGTTATAAAAGAGGCATTAATTCCCTTGAAAATAAAAAAATGCATTGACAAAAAATTCAAATATCTCCAAAAATACATTTTTTTCCTTAATCCAAGGAAATTGGTAACCTCCAAAACGAATGGATCCAAAGTATGAAGAAATAGCATGAAATACTGCATAAGAATTCTTGTCACTTGGGTATCAAATTTCATGGATTTCATGGTTATACCTCCAACCATGAAATTAAGAACCAACTTAACTAAATACATATTTTTTATTGAGTTCAAATGTGTTAATTAAAACATTAGATAACCAAAACAATTCCATTCACAGAAGTTCACATCATATGATGCATATATCCCCAAATACAAACCGCAGGTGTGGGACAGCCACTCACAACCACTGCAGCACCCATCTGTGCACATGTTGATATGTCAAAGTAGGCTAAATATGGTTTGTCTTTTACTCTGTGAAAAAAAAAAGTTTCTTAAGGCCTTCAAATATTTTTTTGAATCTTGTCTTTTGTTTAAATTCAGTAGTCAGAGGCTATAAATGATCTGAGCTGTTCTACTTTAACAATCCAATTTCAACTAGTCACATTTGTTTACCAATACATCATATCAACTGACCAGTAACAAGAAAATATGGATTATGCAGAGTTTGCAGACTTGTCTTCTAAGTCATTGATCTCATGGTCAAGTCATAAATTATTTATTACTGTATTATATTTACGGTTGCTGTAACCTGATTTCATCGTGTAATAAAGATTGTCTTCAAATATTCTCAGCAGATCAAATTATACAACCAAAGGAAATATATTTCTGTATGTTCATATAATTTACTGTGGAAATCTTTCAATTGTTGAAAAATCTTATAAAAGTGGACAACTCAATTTTAATTTCATAAATAGCTGTTCAAATAATCTAAATGTTGAATGTTGAAAGCTTAGTCATCAAGAATGAGTCAAGAACCATACATTAGTAAAATTATTTCCTCTCCTTACAAATTTGTCTGCATCAGATCTTTTATCTGTGTAATCTATTGCTAGTCTGCCATACCGATAGTCAGTAATAGGGTGTTCAGTGTTAATCTAAAGCAAGCCATGTGCCAGAGCAAGTTTGAGATGTTTTCAGAAAATGTTTAAATAGCTCTAAAAAAATATTAAAATAAAACTGCCCTTTTGTATGAAAATTTAATAGTTTACACCTGTGTTAGAATTTAATAGTTTACACCTGTGTTAGAATTTAATAGTTTACACCTGTGTTAGAATTTAATAGTTTACACCTGTGTTAGAATTTAATTGTTTACACCTGTGTTAGAATTTAATAGTTTACACCTGTGTTAGAGTGGCTATAACTTTGATCACAAAATTTATATCAGCAATTGTTCAAATCGCCTACTTTATGTCTTACATTCAATACCCTAAAGTTTATCCTTAAGGAAACCAGGGTGATGTTAAACAATATAAAGGCAGATGACAAACTTCAAGAATGTTGTCGAGCAATTTAGGATTGATAAGTACCACTGATAAATAGGCTATGGTCGTCTAAATATAATGCATAAGCCATAAAAGCTGTTTTTTACTTTGCATTATGAGACCAGAAACTTCACTGGTCAAGATTTTGATTAATACATCAAAAATTTCCACAAACAATGACAATTTGAAAAATAATTTCACCTAGCTGTCCCCCCTTTAATAAATTCTCTTGTAAAAATATACTACATTATACTTACGCTGCATCATAGCCACAAATTTGTCCTTTCGTATCTGTTGGTAAAATAAGTTTATATGGATCACCTCTTGTGTAACCTGCAATAAAAAAAACAACACATGCAGTATAATTTGAACGTGCGTTAAGATCTTGAAGGAAAATCAGAATCAGGAACAAGAAAACGTAAAAATAAAAACTCCACAACAGGTTTGACCCTAGAAATTGTAAAATTAAAAGTCTGTAAAAATACTCCTTTTTACAATATATTCATTTTCATAAATTTATATTTATTAATTTTAACAATGTCCATATGAAACATAATGTTGTAGAACCAATATTGTATCACTGTTGAGATGCACCTAGTTTTGGGCTCAAAATTGAAGTAATACAAAATGAGGTAATTTTTTAGTAAAGTAATTGCTTTTTATGTGCATAGTTTTAACTATTTTGAAAATTGTGAAATATAATGAATGTATTAACTGAAATTTGGCAGTAGAAAGATAGTATAAATTTCATTGTTTTTACAAAAAGTGAACACAATTTGATATATTTTTTTTTTTATTTGGAGCACACTCAAGAACCCCAAAAAATATAAGATTCATATATACACGAGAGGTTTGGTTCATATAGACAACAATCATGGTAAATAAATGTGTTGGTACTTGCATGTGCCCTATGTTTGATGGTATAAAAACTAGTTGAAAATTTACAAAATATGTAATGTGAAGGTACCCAATTTGAACCTATTTTGACAGTTTTTTCTGCTTTATTTATTTATGAAACAGACTAATGTTTTCATTCTGTGTTTATTTTTTGTACATGTATCCATCCTTTAATAATTTACTATTAGTTTCAAAAATTTTATTTTATATCCATATTGAATCCTAGAAAAAGGGTTTTGAACCGACCTCCAAATGATCCAAGGTTCCAATAATGAAGATTACTGTAACTGCACCCATGCTTAACTAAACATCAGTAAAAATCTAATAACTGATGTTTTGTTTTATTTCTCCGCATTTTTGGAAAATTTGACATAGTCCATGTTTCCTTAAATTTCACTAAATTTTACTGTAGACTTTACCTGTTGATATATAATGTGACTCACCAGTTTTGTATCTTTAAAAGAACATTTATCTGTGTTGATCGAAAGACGTGCATAATGAAAAATGTACCAATTGTTTTAAGTCTCTTTAAAAAATCGATGAGATATCATCATTTTTTTGGTGCAATGGGTGCAAATTGGATACTAGGTGCAATTTAGGCAATCCTTATGTCTCGTTTTCCTCAACTTATGTCACAAGGCAAGACAAATATAAGATGGAAATCATACCGTGTAAACCCACCTTAACTGTAATAAAACTTACCAATGACGGTGCAAATGATCATTCCACTAAAGAAAATTAAAAATAACAAACAGCATATTATATCTGTACATGACCTGAAATGAATAACATACACATGGAAAAATGGGTTAAATTTGTAACTTGTGTTGAAAAATGTTCTGATATACACAATTAAAACTGAGATAAAATTTAATATCTTTTTAAATCCAAAATTTTTCCGTGCATGAAATCATATAGAATACAACATCTGCATGCTGAGTTAATTGTGCTAGTATAATCCTACCTGGACATATTATTTTGACTCTTTACTCTTAAAACTATAAAATGCCCCAAGCTCTACAGAGAAGTTTCCATGGTTTTAGTGTGACCTTCCAGGAGACCATGCAGGCTACTACAAGAAAGTTCCATTTAGAAAAGACTGCAAGAACCAAACCAAAAACAGTTATAAAAGACTTTTTATTATATATAGTCCTGATGAATATAGTCACTGTTCATTGATTAGAAAGAGGCCATGAATTTTTTTTTTATTTAAGCTACTTTAGGTTTCAGTCTCAGGAAAATTATTTCTTAATAGTGCTAAAAAAAAAAAAAATAGGAACTACATACAGTGAAACATATAACATTCACTTATTTCGATCTGCTGTTTGTTTTTTATTGTTGTTGAAATATGTAAAGAAAGATCATCAGATTTTGATACATACATTAATTATTGCAAATCTGACAATTATGGGTACATCTAACTTTAATGGATTTCTTGGGTAAAGGCAATTGGGTTGCCACCACAAATTTAAGTGTCTCACAACAAAATACAATTTGTGTTATTATACTTCACGTTAAAATGCCAGATTTTGATTGGTTAATACGAGGTAGACAATTTACTCTATCCCATGGCTGAGCGGGAGACAATTTTTTTGACTGTCACCCTCTCGTCCAGACCAATCAAAAATCGATAATTTAAAGGACAATGAATTGAATTTACATCAAGTAGTTAAAAACAATGCTTAAGTTCTACGTTTTGGCTCAGATTTTATTATTTGACTGTCAAAATAAAAAAAAAAAAAACATCTTGCTTCACTTCTGTTGATTTTTTCTAATACCTGTAACGTTGTTATGTACGTGACGTCATAGAAAATACTTTCAAATAAAATTCATATGTAAAAGACAATAATGATAGGACATTCAGTATAATAACTTAAATAACACATAGCTGAGAGGGTGACAGTAAATCAGACAGACAGATAGAGCAGATTGGTACCCCTCGAAAAAGCATTGTCAACCTTGGCTTCACCGCGGTTGACAATGTTTTCTCGGGGTAACAATCTGCTCTATCACCCTCTCAGCTATGTGTTATTTATATATTGAGAACTTGTCAAACCATTTGACAAAATCAAGTAAATCCAATAAATAACAATTTTTATCATTCAATAAAAATTAATGCCCATGAAAATAACTGAATCTACAGCAAAATTAATGCAATTCCTGCACATTTTATGAGGGTCTGGATGCGGGGGTCTATTTTTGTATTCTTTAATTTTTTAGGCCATTTTTCTCTATTCTTTATACTTTTTGCCCATTCTTTATAATTCTTTATTTTTTTGGTCTATTTTTCTCTATTCTTTATATCTTTTGCCCATTGCATACTCACTAGTATGTAAACCTCCATCCACACCGGGCCCTCTTTTATACAAGAATATTACTTGGAAAATGCAAATGTTACTCATTGATATAAATAGTTCATGTTGTCATTATTTTCACATCAGTTTGTTGATTTAACATTGTTCAATAATCTTTAAAATTTTAATCTAAACAACACATTATAAATTCTTTAGCCAATTTCACCGATTGGTGTGCCAATCGTACTGTAAACACCAAAGTAGAAACATAATCCATTTTAATGACTATAACATGTTTAAAAACTTAAGTAATTCAAAGATAACATGTGACGTCAAATTCAAATCCTTTTACATATAAATAATATTAAACTGAATCAGATCATCGAGAGAAAAGGAGTGCATTTTACCTGTTCTTGATTGGTCCCTTGAAATTTGGATCATACTGACGTTTATCCCCTGTAAAAAGAAAACAATATACTTCAAATCGATATCATTTTTCATTGAACTTAAGTCTATCTCCTGTAAAAAAGTAAACAATATACTTCAAATCAATATTGTTCATTGAACTATAATAAAGATATGGAGTAATATTGTGGGGAAAAACTATAACTGTCTAATTCTGTTGATTTAAGTCTGGAAAAATTTATTATATGTTTACTTATGACTAAATGAAAGAATAATTTGTTATGTAATACATGTAATAACAATAATATAGAAATTCTTTCATAATTTCAAGATATATCATTATAAAATTATGTAGTAATATAGTTTTGCCTCAACTTAAAATTTTATGCATTTTTATCACAATCTTCAATGAGAAGAAGTGGCCTATAAACTTGTATTCAACTAACAAAAGTTTTTGTAACAAACTGTAAATAACAAACAGTATCATGAATTTCAAAAAGTAATCAACTGCAATTACAACATACATGTGAAATTAATGATTTTAGATCCTAACACAGATATTAAAGAATAAGTACAAGTTTGTGACTGAGTAAGTGTGTTTATATAGATTCCACACTGCATTAAGTGTGTTACGGTATTTCTCCACTCGAGACAGTTATATTTTAAAATTTAAAAAAAGGCAAGGCTGCCGAACTTTTTGAATATTTAAAATTTAACTGTTGAGAGTGGAGAAATATTGTAATACACGAGATATAGTGGTGGAATCTATTTCTCTAATGATTATTAGACATTAATATCTAAACAAGGTCTATCCTTCTTTTTCAATTTAGATTTGCAGAAAGTTGTACTCTTTATATGCGACGTCATCAGACATGGTCGCCTTTTTTCATGACATCACAAAAGAAAGTTCAGTAGAAATCAAGAAAATTTGACTTCTGATGAAAATTGAATTTTGACCAATCATTTGCTGAGAAAAAAACTTAAATCTCTAGAGATGAGAAATATTTTTCTCACACTGATCGAGAAATGTGAAAATAGCATGAAAATTAGAGAAACATGTGTTTGTGACTGAGTAAGTGTGTTTTAACATGTGTTTGTGACAGAGTAAGTGTGAATAACATTACTGTATAATAAATAGTCATTCTGTAACTATATTTTAAACTTCAGACAAATCAGAAGGTTATTGACATTTTCAGTACAGAGTTGGTGATTTACTCAAATATGTGTTGCTGTATAGTTTCATGCATGCATGTACATTTTTGGCTCTAAACAATTCAATTACTTTTTTTATGTATATCTAAAAGTGCATGCAGACCATGTAGATTTTGGTACATAGTAAAAATCCTTCAAGAAATTTGTTGATCTGATTTTGAACAGAGAAATAATACTGTTATGTTAACCAAGTTATTTTTGCAGATACCTTTCTAGCCAACTTCATGAATAAAAAAAAAATAAAAAGAACTCCACAGCCCTTAATGTGAACTTTTTGAATGATTAATACATTAATTGTTTTTATAAGTGTGATAAAAGTTGTGAGACAGTTTTACAAAGGGAGATAATTCATACAGCACACAAGACACCCAGTTCTCTACCTTGATACTCTGGTTCATTCCATGCCTTCTTTTTTTCTGAAATTTTTGAAGTTATCACTACAGTTCAAACAAAGTGTTTCAATTAAAATTATTTTTTTGTGGTGATTTTTCACAGTGAATTCTCAGGTGAATGTGGATGATTTGAGCTGGTCTTATCTCTATGTACATATATACATATGTCATTTGTCTCTGGTAGAAATATGTCTAATTGGGAATAATAAATACCACCTCTTCTTATTTTATGTATTCAATAATATATGAATTCGAAATTAATTCTTCATAATGCCATCATCACCACCAGAAATCACCCTTTTTCACCATTTATCACTTACCACCAACACCAAAGAGATTTTTAAGGTAATCAATACACCATGTGCTAACTGCTTAAGTTGTTAGTTTTAAGTAATAGTCACTGTTTATGAGGTTAATCTTAGATGCATTTAAACTGCTAATAATATTTGATTATAAAACATATAATCCTAAACCTGCATATTTTGGCTGGGAAATAATGTTCTATAGATCTAATAACTTCCTTTTTAGTACAAACTTTCCAAAAATGTATCATTATATACACAATGACATCTACAGCTGTTTTTCTTTACCTCTTGGGGGCTCAAATAGAGCCCTTAGGTTACAAAGTCCCGTTTAAAATTGTATCAGGTCACAAGGTCACTTTTAAGCAAATCTAAGGTAGTAGGTTTCGAGCATTCTAAAGACACGTCAGGTCACCAGAATGCTAGCCAAACCCATCAAAGTAGCAGGTCGGATTTGACCATGTTGGAGCCACCCCTTTATTACAAGTTTCAAAAACAATCTGAGACATTATATCCATATTGACACACATATGATTCCAATAAAGTCAAGATAATCCATATATCTTTGCCAAGATGTTAAAAAAATAATGAATCTGAAATAAAAAACAGAAGCCAGGACCATTTCATTTTTATACCAAAGTCATTTATATTTCAAGTTCTAATCAATGATTTTAAATGCTGTTTATATTCTAATATTCGATTAAAAAAACTTAATCCAATTTAATGTACTAGAATGACAGTAGGTATTGTTTTTAAATAATGATTTGAATTGTGGTTGAATTACCCAATATATTAAACTGCGTGTCTCTGAATTCATAGAGCTCTTTTGCATTGTGATTTAACAGAACTGGAGTATTTCGCCATTCATTCTAACAATTTTCATATGTATGTTTTTCGAGGAACTATTTTGGTTTTTAATATCAAATTTCTCTTAGAACAGGAAGTTCTTTTAATTCTTTGTCTGTGAACCAGTCGTTTGTGTAATTTAAAATATCTTTAACAGTCATAAGCATTCTTATACATACACTTGTCAATGGTAGTTTAAATACTTATTGCAAATTTATTCACTTCAGTTCAAGATGTAGTTATCCTATTTTTAACTACTTTGTAATATAACCTTGAAATTAAAAGTAAAACTGTCAGAATCATTTTACAAAGTATATAAAAAGTCTTACATAAGGTTATATCATGTTTATAAATATTACATATAAACTAAAGCAATTATGATATTCTTTAGAAACTCTCTCATCTATGTGGTGTATGGTGAACTAGGGTTATATATAGACATAAAAACTTAAGAATTGTTTATTACAGTCAAAATATTGTAATATTACATATACATGTAGATATATATCAATACTACATAAAATTGAGAATGGAAATGGGGAATATGTCAAAGAGACAACAACCCGACCAAAGAGCACTGACAACAGCCGAAGTACATAACTTTAAATGTTCACAAATCACAAAGTAAATTTAAGTAAGAAACTTAAAATATGAAATGATTTTTGTCTATAAAGCAATTTTGATGACTGTGGTTACAACTTTATATATGGGACACTCAGAATTTTAATAAAAAAATATGGTTGAACACCATCATCAAACAACTTAAAGCGCATGATTCTGAATTAAGCTTTTAGACCAGATCATCCAGAAATGGTATGCCGATTTAGTGAAACATCTAGAAAGGCAACAAACAATGAGGTCTTTAAAATGAAATTAGAATTTGTAGAATAATTCAATATCCTTGATTTTCAAAATTCTGTTAGATTTTGTAAATTTAGAACATTTTATTAATACACAACTGCCAATATAATGTGGTACTAAGGTGGCAAAATATGGAAAAGTACAACCACTTTTGTAACTTATGTACACTACTTATACTAATAGACAAGTTGGTGATGAGTATCACTACATATTTGAATGCACAGCTGTTGCCTAAGAACAAAAGAAATTTTACTAAGATATAAGGCAATAAAACTTTAAATCTTCATGTCCTATAATCTTAAAGATATTCATATGAAACTTTGTATGTATATCAAATGTACAAATAACTGTGTTTGTCCTCCTGGCTAAACATAATGTTATATCAGATGTTATTTGTTTATTTGTGCCTCTTTCATCACTGTATTTATATTAGGGTATTGTATTATCAGATTATTACATGGCATTTTTCATATCAGATGTATTATCAGCCCAAGGTTCAATATCAGCCCAACAGCCAAAGGCCCGAGAGCTGATATTGACTAAGGGTTGATAAAACATCTGGTCATGCTATGAACTTTTTATCATTTGCTTCAATAATGGAGAAAAATAACAGTTTAATATATTGATCCTTTTAATTGGTTCTCAAGTAGAAAGTTTAGGGACAACAGATGCCAAATGTGATACATCCAATATGAAATCTTTCTATCATATGCCTCAACAGAGGAGAAAAACAATAGTATAATATATTTTTATATTGATGATAAAAAAAATCAACAAAACATGATGAACACTGTTTGGAAAAGTCAACATTTGTAAAGTAACTTGCTAAATTAATATGCTGGAAACTTTGAAAAATGCATTTATTGTATCATTTGTTTTGCATTTTACACAATATATTTTCTTGTTTCCTAATATTTGTTTTGTACCCTACTTTGTCATGTTTTTCACTGAAAACGTACCATTGAGGTGTGTTTGCTGGAATTTGCTGAGTAACGTTGGAATGCAATGCGATAACGTTACGGAATGGCATGTGATAATAATGGGATTTACTTAAGCAGTTGATAAATATTTCATATTAGCCCGCTAGGCACCATTTTTGAAAATATGAAATTCACGTAAATTTAATGCTGTTATCATACTGTAAGATCTGTAAGTTATTTACCAGTACTCTAAGTATATGATAAATGGAATTACTTTTCTCTGTACCAAATGATCAATATAATATATCGTCTGTATTTATCAATCCCTGGGTTTTTCTCTTTTGAATGGTTTCATATTTTGTCATCCCAGGCCTTTTATAGCTTACTAATGGTGCAGGTTTTGCTCATTTTATGAGGTAGAACAGTGTTTATGTGACCTGAAATTATTCATATCTTTGTCCATTGGTCATTAATGGAAATTTGTCTCGATGGCAATCATACTATTTCTCCTTAATTTT